GCTAGAGGGCAGGAGGGGGTTAGGGGAGCAGGACCTAGGATTGCAGGACCCACTCATGGAGGGGGAGCAATAGGATGCCAGCCTGGACTGTCTGTAAATTGCTCCCAGCCGCCCCCCTGGCTCATCCCTGCCGGCCAGGGCAATGTGGGGCAGGGCCGCGCCCGCCCTTTGGCCACCTGGGGGGAGTGGGTGGGTGGCATTAGCTGATGTCTCCTCCCTGCCTGGGCCTTCTGGGGCAGAATCCAGACCCCACTCATGGAGGGGGAGCAATAGGATGCCAGCCTGGACTGTCTGTAAATTGCTCCCAGCCGCCCCCCTGGCTCATCCCTGCCGGCCAGGGCAATGTGGGGCAGGGCCGCGCCCGCCCTTTGGCCACCTGGGGGGAGTGGGTGGGTGGCATTAGCTGATGTCTCCTCCCTGCCTGGGCCTTCTGGGGCAGAATCCAGACCATAATAAGCACTAGACCATTGGCCCGAAGCTGAGCGATTCTCGGGGGAGCTCGGCTGCCCGGCCCAAAGTGGAGAGCAGCAGGGCTGGGGGCTTAGGGCTCGCCCCTTCCCATTGCGGGGGCAGGGGGAGGCGAGCCTCGGGGGCCAATCCGGCTTGTGGGGAAAGGAAGAGGCTCCGCCCACCGCTGCTGCCCCCCCCTCCAATGGAAGACTGACAGTGCAGGAAACCACTCACCTGAAGGCGCTCCCTGCTGCTCCCATTGGCTGGGATCATGGCCAATGGGAGCAGCTGGTTCCTGGGAGCGGCGGAAGGCACAGAGCCAGGTAAGCGCCTCCCACCCCACCCCTGCACCCTCCCTCCAGCCAGGACCCTCCACCCTCAGCCCACGCCTGCACCCAACCTCCCGGCCCGGCGCTAGCGTGGGTGCTCGGCGGGTGGTGCGCGGAGAGGCCTGCCTTGAGCTGGGTGGGCCGAAAAGTTTGAGAGCCACAGGTCTAGACGCCCCTCCAAGCCCTGTGCACAGGTGAGCACGTCATTTTCCTCAGCCTGCTTCCGGCTGCCCACCCCTCCCTGCCTAGCCTCCTCGCCGCTCTC